TTCACAAATGAGATAACAAGAACCCAGAGCCGTATGCTCCTGTTAGGGTGAGGGGCAAGTCTGGTAGTGCAGGCAATTATAGATGACTAGAGAAATTGAAGTTTTGGTCAAGAATAAGAAGGAAGCATATGTCAGGTATAGACAGCAGGGATCGAGTGAATCCTAAGAAGAGTATAAAGGCAGTAGGTGTATAATTAAGAGGGATATCAGGAGGGCAAAACAGGGACATGGAAAGCTTTGGCAAGTAGGATTAAGGAGAATCCAAAGGGATTCCACAAATACATTAAGGACAAAAGAGTGACTAGGGAGAGAATAGGGACTCTTAAAGATCAGCAAGGCCACCTATATTGGAACTGCAGGAGGTACTGAATGAGTATTTTGCATCAGTGTTTACTGTGTAGAAGGATATGGAAGATAGAGAACATGGGGAAATAAATAGCAACATGTTGAAAAATACCCATGTTACAGAGGAGGAGGTGCTGGACATCTTAAAATGTATAAAGGTGGATAAATCCATGGGACCCAATCAGGTGTACCCTAGAGCTCTGTGGGAAGCTAGGAAAGTGATTGCTGGGCCCTTTGCTGAGATATTTGTATCATCAACAGCTACAGGTCAGTTGCTGGAAGACTGGAGGTTGGCGAACGTGGTGCCACAATTTAAGAAAGGTGGTTAAGAAAAACCAGGGGACTATAGACCAGTGAGCCTGACATCGGTGGTGGACAAGTTGTTGGAGTGAATCCTGAGGGACACGATTTACATGTATTTGGAAAGGCAAGGACTGATTAGGGTTAGTCAACATGGCTTTGTACGTGCAAAATCATGTCTCACTAACTTGTTTGAGTTTTTTGAGGAATTAACAAAGAAGATTGATGAAAGTCGAGTGGTGGATGTGATCTATATGGACTTCAGTAAGGCATTTGACAAGGTTCCTCATGCTAGACTGGTTAGTAAGGTTAGATCACATGGAATACAGGGATAACTCGCCATTTGGATACAGAACTGGCTCTAAAGTAGAAGACAAAGGGTGGTGGTGGAGGATTGCTTTTCAAACTGGAAGCCAGTCACTAGCGGTGTGCCACAAGGATTGGGTGTTGGGTCCACTGCTTTTCATCATTTATATAAATGATTTGGATGTGAGCATAGAAGGTATGGTTACTAAGTTTGCAGGTGACACCAAAATTGAAGGTGTAGTGGACAGCGAAGAAGGTTACCTCAGAGTACAAGGGGATGTTGATTAGATGGGCAATGGGCTGAGGAGTTGCAGATGGAGTTTAATTTACATAAATGTGAGGCACTGTATTTTGGAAAGGCAAATCAGGGCAGGACTTATACATTAAATGGTAAGGTCCTGGGGAGTGTTACTGAATACACAGACCTTGAAGTGTAGGTTGATAATTCCTTGAAAGTGGAGTTGCAGGTTGACAGGATAGAGAAGAAGGCTCTAAGGAAGGGTCACTGGACCCAAAATGTTAACTCTGATTTTTTCTTCACAGATGCTGCCAGATCTGCTGAGTTTTTCCAGCAACTTCTGTTTTTGTAATGAAGAAGGCGTTTGGTATGCTTGCCTTTATTGGCCAGTGCATTGAGTATAGGAGTTGGGAGGTCATGTTGCGGCTGTACAGGAGATTGGTTAGGCCACTTTTGGAATACTGCATGCAATTCTGGTCTCCCTGCAACATGAAGGATGTTGTGAATCTTGAAAGAATTCAGAAAAGATTATTCAGAAAAGAAAAGAAGTTGGAGGCATTGAGCTATAGGGAGAGACAGAATAGGCTGGGGCTATTTTCCCTGTCGTGTCAAAGGCTGAGGGGCGTCCTTATAGATGTTTATTAAATCATGAGGGGCATAGATAGGGCGAATAGTCAAGGTCTTTTCCCCAGGTTGGGGGTGTCAAAAACTAGAGACTGTGGGTTTAAGGTGACAGAGGAAAGATTTATAAGGGACCTAAGGGGCAACTTCTTCACGCAGAGGGTAGTGTGTGTATGGAATGAGCTGCCAGGGGAAGTGGAGGAGGCTGGTACAATTACAAGATTTAAAAGACATCTGGATGGGTATATGAATAAGAAGGGTTTAGAGGGATATTGGCCAAAAGCTGGCAAATGGGACTGGATTTATTCAGGATCTCTGGTCAGCATGGACGAGTTGGACCAAAGGGTCTGTTTCAATGCTGTACAACTCAAGGACTCAATGATTTATTAGGCCATTGTTTTTACTTCTGTTCCCTAGTTTGTAAAGTAAATTCTATCCTCCTAGAATCAACACAATTTTCAAACTCTTGTTTGAAATTGCAAGAAGATGTACATGTAAATGTTCAAGTTATATCTATTATAAATGAAGTTCAAACACTCCAGTTAATCTCAACTAAATTTGAACATTGGTGGTTAAATTGAAAGGTCAGCCAATCAATTAACAGATGGTTTACCAGAAAATTTATTTCCAAAGTAACTGCCAGTCAAGTCAAAATTTTAACTATATTCTTACTCATATAAATGATATTGAATATTAATGTTCTGAATATTAAAGGCTTCTTTGCTTTCCTACTTCCTGTCTACTTGAGGAAAAGAAGGCATTTACAGAAATGTCCTTTACATATTTCAACGTTAGTCAAGTTACAAAGAATGACTCTAACTTATTCACCAATATCCTTTCGAGGCTAACTTCAGTCAGATATCTGAAATTATTCAACAGTTCCTATAAAAAAAGGTCAATATTAATAAATAGGGTTTATAACAAAGGTAATATGGATGCTAAGAATGATAAAAACTTAAGTATTTATCTCTGTATTTATTTTGAATGTATTATGCAGCCATAAATAGCAAGTCTGGAATTATACTAGGTTAAATTGTTTCAGTGCCAAATAGAGTAAGTGGTAATTTTTATTATTTGGATCTGCAAACTCGTTGGTTTGGATTTTAAATGTCAGCCGTAGAATGAACCTTGGCCTGTTTTAGTGGTTGGGCCTTGTTTAAACTCTCCGGCTGATTCTGGGCAACGTGATAGAAAACAGTAACTCAGAGATCACTCGCCAACAGTTGGTAAAAAGTGGCAGAATCTGTCACCAGTCCATCTCTAAGGAGTCCTGTGATTGCAGATAGGGACAGGGGGTGAAGGTACAGTAGGAAGATTTCTGCAGTTCCAATATGGGTGTGATTGAAAATCACCCACATACTCGGGAATCTAGGGCCTTTGGAATTTGTTTGCCTTTGAGCTGTTGTTATACTTTCAGATTTGCTTGTTCTTTTTGTACAAAGAGTTCATCATGAACCCTACAATTATCAATGTAGGTAACAACAGATTATGCAACACTTTAGTTTACTTTTTGATATTCTGAAAAATCTGCTCAAATTGTTTTTATTAATAGAAAGACTGAAAAGACATTTACACTGGAAGGATAAAGTCAATAATATCCACTTTACATGAGATTTAAACATTGACTTGCTTTCAATGATTTCTTACATTAGTTGTGGATTGTTTCAAGTGCAGTGTTTATGAGCCTTAGCATAACAATTAATTTCGCTTTGGAGCTTGAACTCTTCAAAAAAGGTAACAGAACAAATGTTTTTCACAAGAAAATCATGGTGTAGTCAAAAGCTTATCCATCATTGTGAATGATGGATTGCCTGATTTAAGTTGTTAATTTCCACTTTTACATCTCACAATGGACTAGCTGGAAAGCTGCTAATATCCATCACACTGATTAGTTTGAAAATTCATGATTACAGTATGCATAACTCTTTTTGAACGACTTTGTAATCTATAACAGAATGTCACCATTGCTTAACAACAGCAGATTGATTGACTGACATGCCATTCAGACAGGAATTGTAATGGACATATTTCTGTGAACATTCAGATACAACAGGAGCAGCAGTAAAATTGAAAGGTAAAGCCAATCAATTAGCAGATGGTTTACCAGAAAATTTATTTCTGAAGTGACTTGCACTCAAGTCAAAACTTTAATTATAGGCTTATTCATATAAATGATATTGAATATTAATGTTTTTTATATTAAAAGCTTCTTTAATTCCTTCTTTCTGTTTAGTTAAGGAAAATTAGACATTTACAGAAATGTCCTTTACATATTTCAGTATTAGTCAAGGTACAAAGAATGGCACTAATTCACTATTAACCTTTCGAGACTAACTCCAATGTGATACCTGAAAATATTCAACATTTCCTCTGATAGAAAACAATGTTAATAATGTTAAAACAAAAAGATAATATGGATGCTAATAAAGATAAATACTTGAGATGATGATGTGAATAAAGGCTAGTATTCATTGCTGAAATACTGAGATTGAAGGAAATTATTCCTGATATAATTTTCTCAAATATTGGAAAAATAAAATACCGCTGATGCTGGACATCTGAAATAAAAATGGAAAATGCTGGAAATACTCAGTAGGTCTGGCAGCATCTGCAGAGAAAGGTCATCGACTTGAAACGTTTACTCTTTCTATCTCCACAAATGTTGGCAAACCTGCATTTCTAGCATTTTCTGTTTTTTTTATTTCTCTAATGATAGTTCTCCATGTCATTTGCATTTGATGACTCATATGGTTACAGCTTTGAATTAAATAAAAGAAGCACAATCAGTGATGGTTATTGATATCAGAATTAGTTGAGATTGAATTTTAAATGACACCTCTCAATCGGTTGACAATTAATAATTATTGTCTAATTAACGTGTTTTAGTTAGTGTTATTTTCAGTTCCGGTAATCCTACACCTTCCCATAGAAGTTACAAGGTGACTTTACTTGTGAGTTTACAGGACCTCACTGAAAGTACACAGTAATCATCCAGGTCCACCTGAGAAAAGAACCAAATATCAATCATAATTACAAAAGTGAGCTGTGAGAATTTTCATTTAAATATTAACCAAAATAATTGTCTAAAGTATTAGAAGGCAGAATAAAGTCAAAAGTTCCATAGGGCACATATTCCAATAAAAATCCCAATGCACATATCTGTCAAACTATTTTGTTTGCAAAGTTTATTTCACTCAGTTGTTTGTACAAAATTGCTGTTTGGTGTTTCACCTGTTAGTGCCGAGGAGTTTAAGGAGCTTCGTTTAAGCAGTCTATTAATAATGTCCATCCATGTCTTCTTGTACTGATGACGCAACAGAGAATATACAAAGGGGTCTGAAACAGCCTTGCCATAAGCCAAACATTTGGAAAGAATTCCCCAGTATGGATTGATTGGTGCTGACACAGCCAACTCCACCAGCCTGCCAAAACACAAAATGTTAACAGGAAGCTTCTAATGCATTTGTTAAGAGATTACATTTTAAGACTTTGTCTACCTTCCCCTTTGTCACTCAAGACCCTTTCATTAAGCACCATAAACAAATTTATTTCACCATGGCCTTTAAAGTTAATTCCATCCAATTAGAAGTATATGGTTTGTAACAAGAGACACGTATATTTTAACTTTGCTTCCCGTTGAAACAAATGATAACATTAATCCCAAATTCAGATATTTAGGAACCAGCCAACATTATGATCACCAGTCATAATTCAGGCAATTCAACAACTCAATGCTATTTAATGCTTCAGGGAGTTTGCCAATGATTTTCATGACCTCCCATTATAATCAAAGATCAATGCAATTCCTAAAGGAACTGCTTACTCTACTCAGTTCTCTTGGATTTCTGATTTTCCCTCATGCATGAAAGGAGATCGGAAGAATCACACATTGTTATATTAAATTGGTTTCATTTAGGTGAGTTCAAGCTACAATTACAAGTTGAATCAATTTTTTTATAATTTAATTAATATCTGCAAGAAAACACTTGAACTTAATTGGTTTCCCATTCTGTACCTTCCAATACCAACTTTTTACCTACATCTGCTGGTCATTTCCTATTGCATACCCTTCCCTTGCTTACCTGTGTCAGTGTCCACAAATTAAAAGATCCTCAATTGCATACATCCATATAGTTTCCATGGCCTCACACCATCCAAACTGTGTAACTGCCTTCAGCCCTTTCTCTACACCTTTCATCTGCCCCACTACCATCCCCATCAAAACCACACTCTGGAATGTCCATTCTGCAGACTCTGAGCTCTTGTTCATCCATTCTTCCTTCTCCTCCTCATTGGCAACTATCTTTTTAGAAATGTAGGACCAATTCTTGAAATTTCCTCTTAAACCCATCTACATCTATTTCTTCAGGACAGTTGTTAAAATGCTTCATTTTGACCCAGATTCCATTCTTTGCTGTCTCTCTGTCTTTGATTCAGTGCATATCATCCGTACATGTCTCTAAAGTACCTTGGTTTAATTTTTAAATTATATGAAGGTAAATTGTTAGTGTGCTTCTTATAGGATACTTGTCACTATCTTTGTACAAGACATTAGAACTTTCTTTGTACAAGTGCGAATGTAGTTGTTTGCTGAGCTTATATTATGTCTCCACATAGCAAGCTATTATACTATACATTTTTCAACCAACAAATCGGTTCCTTCATCCAAATCATTGAGATAAATTGTAAACAGTTGAAGCATCAGCACTGATCCTGTTTCCTGTTAGCTAAGCATTCCTTTTTGTCTCCCCCCTCACACGTTGGTCTACTTTGCATAGTAACCTTTGATGTGGCATCTTGTCAAATAGTTTTGGGAATCTAAGTTCAACACATCCACAGGTTCCCTTTATCTTTGTTGCTTGTTACTTTTGCAAAGAACTGTAATAAGTTACTCATGTATGATTTCCCTTTCACAAAAGCATATTGATTCTACCTGATTGCATTGAGATTTTCTAAGTGACTGCTGTAACATTCATGATGTGGAAGTTCCGGTCTTGGACTAAGGTGGACAAGGTCAAAAATCACACGACACCAGGTAAGAAGGAGCGAGAATCCAAAAGCTTGTGTCTTCAAATAAACCCATTGGACTATAACCTGGTGTCATGTGACTTATAACATTCTTGAGAATAGATTTCAGAGATCTTCCAATGGCAGATGTTAAGCTAATTAGCCCATACTTTTCTGCTTTCTTGAATTGAAGAGATATATCCAGTATTTTTCAAACTGATGGTGACTTTCCAGAATACACAAAAAATTAGAAATTCAAGGCCAATATCTGGACTACCCTTATTCATTGCCCTGGCTATAAACTTCTCCTCTCTGTTATCTCAGCGTATGCAAATCCTTATTTCTAAAGTACACATGATGTCTGTATAGGAACCAGGGTCTGCAATTGTGAGATCGGTTTTCCTTCCTCATCATTAACTTTCTGCTCTTCCACCTCTTTCTACTCCACCATTGACTGATCAGGTATCAGTTTTTTTGCTATCCACAAAGGAAGGTGTACAATGAAGAGTCGTGATGGGACTAGGGTAGCTGGAGAAACCAAGACGTGTTTGCGTATTCCAGTTAGTTTGTTAATCATAAGAGATTGAGGGCTGAGGAGGAAGATTAGACATAATGATTCCATCAACTTCGATGGGCTGTGCTCCACTACTGACTATGGTCTAAGCGAAGAGCACTCTAATGATGATGGCCAACTTCTCCTCTATCAAGAACTGAGTGTATCAGGCCTCCTCCACTTAAGTCCTGGCTACTATCACCTTATCCCAAAAGAGAGTGGGAAATTTGTCACTGAGGGTAATGCAAACTGTTTTGATGATTTGGTTGTTATTGTCCACTAGCTAGCAGTGTGTGCAAATTGTGAGGCTTGCAGCAATGGTATATATGTGAGGGTAAAGTCAACAACAAAATCAACAAGTACTCATATAATGTCTTTAACATGATAAATCATCCCATGGCTCTTCACAAATGTAATACATTCAAAGTCTGATGGAAATCATACAACAGATTATATTTATATAGTACCTTTAACATATAAAATGTTTAAAGGGCTTTGCCAGATCTTTGTACAGCAAAATTTGACGTCCGCTACATTAGGAAATATTAGGTCTGCTGACCGAGGAGTTGGGATTCTTTTTGTGATCAAGGATGACCAACAGGATTTGAGTTAGCGAATAAATTCAATTAGGAATCTGCAGACTCTGCCACATGCTCGGGAGGTCAGCTAAATGGGTTGTCTTGAGGTTTGCATGCTCAGTCTATCAGAAAAAAAAAAGAAGCGTTTTGAGGCTGCAATAACATCATAACTTAATCTGCTGTTCAAAAGGGAAGAATTTATTACTATCACAGACTCAAGGCTTTATTTGTTAAAGTTATGGAAATGGACTTTACATCAGGCTGTGAAGGGTGGAAAAGCATTCACTTTTTTCTTAAGAAGGCAGGAAAGCCCATTTTGGCTGCAGACATTCAGAAACCTTCATTTTGATGGCAATAACACTGGAAAACCCTCAGTAAGTAATACAGTTATACTACAGCACAACAACTTGGCAGCATTAAAATCTTTAAAAGAATGAAAAGAGCACAGCATTGTGATACCACACAGTTTGAAAGTTTCACCAACAGGAAAATAAAATCGTATTGATATTTATGCAAGTAAATATCTTCAAGCAAAATAGATTACAACCAATTTGAGACACTGCAGCATTTAAAGGCATTAAAGTGAGGATAAATAATTACACAAGCAAAATGTGGCAGGTGAAATATTACCTGCCAGATTTAATAACTGATCAAATCAAATAGATCAAATAGAACACCAATATGAACATCTTGGAGAAAACAGTCCTTAAGGTACAGAATTTTAGCAAAATTAAATACTAAGCCACATAAAAACAAGTAAACATACTATTGTTTTCAATAGGACCTACAGCTGCTAATATTGCAAAGTTCCAAATGATAGAACCAGGCAAAGATGCTTTTTAGAATTGAACCCCTACAGTGTGGAAACAGGCCCTTCGGCCCAACAAGTCTACACTGACCCTCAGAGCATCCCACCCAGACCCATCCCCCTAAGCTACACATCCCTGAACACTACGGGCAATTTAGCACGGCCCATCCACCTAACCTGCACATCTTTGGACTGTGGGAGGAAACCGGAGCACCTGGAGGAAACCCACACAGACACAGGGGGAACGTGCAAACTCCACACAGACAATTGCCCGAGGGTAGAATCAAACACAGGTCCCTGGTGCTATGAGGCAGCAGTGCTAACCACTGAGCCACTGTGCTGCTTGAAGAAGTTCTATGTAATTTTGACAATTTCTTTAATCTGAGAATAAATAACACTCTTGAAATAGAAATATTTAACAAAAGTGTTCAACATCCAGGGGAAGCCATAGATAATTTTAATAATGATTTCTACAGCTTAGTGGAAACCTGTGGCTATGAAGATTTGAAAGCAGAATTCATAAGCGATAACTATTGTTGGAATTATTAATTGGCCTGTTAGATTTATTACACTCTAAAGAAAATTTAACTTTGGAGAAGGCAGTTTATATTCTTCTGAATGTAGAAACCAGGAAGAATCACACACAAATCCTAAGAGGGGAAGGACAACGTTAACAAGGAGAGCCATAAGACAAAAACAAACTCTCGAAAAACACATGTGACTAGACTAGCCAAAGCAAGAAATTGGCCAAATAACAGAAACTAAGAGTCAGTGTCCATGCTATGGAACAAAACACCTCAGAATCACAAGTAGTACTCCACTGTAACAAAGGAATACTACATCTGTAAAACTGTAGGTACCTTCCATGGATGGGCAGAAGTGGGAATACCATTTCATGGCAACAAAAAGTCAAATGATTGCTTATACAAAGATGCTACAAGCACGTCTACATTACAAAAGAAAAACACGTTAGAGAGTTGAGAATGTATATGTGATTTACAATCAACACTTTTAACTTTGAGTCTATGTGCATGTTTAGATTTAAACATCCTTGATATAGCCGAAGATGTTCAAGGTGTTGCAAGAGACAGCAAACAGGTCAAGAAAAACCAAATTATAACAAGTTTATTCAAAGAGAAGCTATTCACAGAACAATTGACACAGGAACAATCTGTTATCATTCAAGTTGTCAAGGGCCAAGTAGTAGATAATTTCTTTGGGTTTCTCAGACTCATGGTGGGATGCAAAAATAATAAAAAAAAGACTACCTTAGCATAAGAATATTGTTGCATACTGTCAACAAGAAGGAGACCGCAACTTGTAAACTAGCAAAATTACACTGAAGTAGTCAAATCTGCCCATAATGAAAGAATGAATAAGAGCTTCAGCAGCAGGTAAGGTGGTAGGGTCAACGTCAGACAATCTTACAGAGGTTAGACTAGGCAGTTGTAGAAAGCTCAGCTTGTGGTCAAAATG